AAAGACATATCAGTTAAAGTATATTATGAAACCTAACTGCAATTTCGTTTCAAATATTTAATCAAATCGTGTTCAATCAATCAACTGTGGCCAAAAGGTGGATGTTGAATCAAAGATGCATTTTCTGATTGGTTTAGATGGAACACTTATAGGAAACAAGCAGCGATCGATATGCTGACTGCCTGCCGCTCACGCTTATAGACACTGAACCCGCCGCTCGGCATTAATTTAAAAATTTTTGAATTATACGAACTTGAAGCGATTGGTAAACACAGTTATACACGAGAACGATATGACCCGTTAATATTATRCAATCAATGCAAGAAGTATTTACTTTTCAATTAACGGTTGTGTCATTTTTCCACAGGGATTTCCCATAATAGCAAGTTATACGTCTTGTTTCCCCGCCCACAGCGGATGTCATTGGACAAGTGAAGATTGCAAGTTGAAGCGATCAAAAAAGTGAAGCAGATTCTTTTGAATTTCGGCGCCATTGTTTGTTTTGCTGTCATTGACAACAGAAACTAGTTYATTCACCGTTACCAGAGAGTTTCAAGCATTTATCTTCCTGATTACTAGGACATTCTGKAAAGACTTCACGGCGTATAAAATGATTTTCTGGAAAATAGCCTTCACAATAGAAGCCCTGGTTATCATCACAGGCAACCTTATCGTTATTCTTTCATCGATTTTTAACAGAATTTTACGAAAAAGACGATACCTTTTCCTACTAAACCTCTCATTGGCTGATCTCATGGTTGGMATAGTAACCATACCATTATACCTTTATATCCTCCATACRGGATATCACGGATCTGTCAAGAAGGCTTTCGTATTTTGTGACGTCTTCTTGGGGGTGGAGTCTTTGTTAGGATTGTTGGCGTTGTCATGGGAACGYCTTTACGCCATCTGCTGTCCGATAAAGCATCGTACAGTCAAAAAACAAAACCTGYTAGTCCTGATTGCTGTCACGTGGACGATAGCAACAATCACCGGCGTTGTCTCCGTCRCAGGACAAGATGATCAATATGTTTTCTTTTACTTCGTGCTACCTTTACTGACTCTAATTCTCATACTAATTTGCATAAGTTACGTCATCATCTGGYTTAAAGTCCATGCTTCGAATCCAGTTGGAGAGGGAGTGCAGTGTAGTCGCACTAGACACGACAGGAAGCTCGCTATGACTCTGTTTATTGTGACTGTTCTCTCGCTGCTTGCATGGCTACCATTAGAAATACTCAATATTCTAATACCTCTGTGTAGTTCCTGTAAGAAACGTTTGAACCATATGTTCTACCTTGCGAAGTTTCTTCAGTTTGGTAACTCTCTCATTAATCCAATGATCTACGCGCTCAGGATGTYTGAGTTTAGAAGTGCGTTACGAAAACTGGTCCGCACTCGTAGCATGAGTAGAAGGACATCTAGTAAGACATTAAGCAAAAAGAAAAGTGTTCTGGTCACCCTGTTGTGAACACCTTTACTCTGGTAGCATGAGTAGAAGGACATCTAGTAAGACATTAAGCAAAAAGAAAAGTGCTCTGGTCACCCTGTTGTGAACACCTTTACTCTGGTAGCATGAGTAGAAAAACATCTAGTAAGACATTAGGCAAAAAGAAAAGTGTTCTGGTCACCCTGAGCACCTTTGTTCTCATAGTTTGAGGAAAAGGACATGGGAGAGCTACGTAGCAAGCAGTTGATGTAATGTATTCAATATATCACAGCTAATACAATAGATTTTCTGAAGACATTACATCAAATGAGTGCTAGTTTCTGTTTAAAAAAGTTTGAATACCTATGTAGTATGTTGCTACCACTACAGCTCTCTTGGTGACAAACCTTATTGTAAAATTAGTATTAAAATCATTATTAATAAACATTCCGACTCCGACTCCGACTCCGACTCCGACTCCGACTCCGACTCCGACTCCGACTCCGAATCAGTTCGACTCCGATTCTGATGCAAGTGAAAACCATACCTTAGACTTCCCAAGACAGTAATTGCAAATTACTTTTTAAAAAACTACTGATAAATACGCATGTACTACAGAGATGAATAATAATGGAGTGTCCGTACTGAAACAAAAATGCATTATCCGAACCGGAGCTGAAAAAAGAAATACTTATTCTAACATTTAAATTTTTAAAGAAAATTATAATAACGGATTATGGCAAATTATTATCAGTGACTATGAGTTGTATATGAATAGGTTACAGGATCTCAAGTGTTATYATAAAGAAAGGTGATTAATCTGTCGCTATCTATTTCAGTGTARATTACTTTTTTGCTCAGTCAAGCTGTCTTGAAGGAGCATCACAGACACATCAGACATCAGATCGGCGGGAAGTACATATAATAAAGGATAATCATAATGGGCTAATAGAGAGAAATAGCTTGCTCAAATTAAACCTTACTATCTAATTTTAAAACAAATTATCTGAAGTCATTCAACGAGAAAAAACCATGTGGTATTTATGGTTCTTTGTTCTGGAAGCAGTTGTAATAGTGTTGTTTACAAGTCTATTAAAATCCTACAATATGGCATGCCTCTCTAATCTCGTACCCAGGCCTGCGGCAAATAACGAGGGCTATGGCATAATCAATTTTTTGACGCATGCGCAGTTTTCCGGAAGTGAAACATAATCAATGAAAATCATGCTTTCAAACAGAGTTCTGTGTTTACTTCCGATTAAAAAAAGAATTAGAAATCGGGAACATATTATTTTGTTTTTGGCTAGTCTTTTAACGTATGCGCTCTTATACCGGATTTCCAAGAAATCCTGGTCTCAAAAAATGGATTATGCTAGAGCCCTTGTTCTTCGCCCCAGACGAGAAGAAACGCAGGCTCTGGGTACGAGATTGCATGCCTCCATCGTCAATCCTATCATCAACGCACTGCGCATGCCTCATTTCAAGAGAGCAGTTTTCAATGCAGTATCGATGAGATTAGTGTACATTTTTTTTTTTTTTTGTTTGTACTCGTTTAAAAAAATGTGTCGTTTTTTAAACCTTTCGACTTATATTTGTAAAACAATGTATAATTTAGGTTTCCTGATAAAAATAACATTATAAGCTTGTTTACTGGTGACGTTATGAATTTCTTTCGTAGAAAGCTGGTTTTCCCCTTTYTTTTTCTTCAAAAAGCTGTTGATACACTCGTGTTTCAAGAATCGTGAAAACGACTTCGGAACACCATTTTTTCTTTCTAGATTTGAAATCAGCTTTAAATTTTGGTTTGAGAAATTGTGATTCTAGAGCTTTAACTTTTTCATGGACTTTTTTTTAATAGTAGGCAGCGATCTTAACACATGCTATACATAATACGTCTATTAGACAGACACCTTCACTAGGGCTAAGTTTAGTTAGGAAGCGAAATGAAGTTGCGTGTCAAAAGGATAACGAAAATGGATTATTTTCTGGGATGAATTATGCGTCAACTAGGCAATTGMAATACCACATGCTGCTAAAGCAATTTTCATACAGACTGCACTTCATTTGGAAAATGAGTCGATGTAAGTTTRATTTTTAGGAAAATTTCGAGACTTGATATGTTCTCATTTGAGTGACTCTTTAATTTTCGACTTCTACAAAGAAATTTTAAAAAATGGCCGTATCCCCGCTTATTTACCTAAGTAATGAATTCACTTGATYTCAGAATTAACGAACAATAACGAAAGCGTGAAAACATGATTTGTCATAAATAATATCCCAGAACACGGARAATCATCCCAGAGAGAGAAAAATCTGAATCAAAATGGCGGACTTCGCCAAGTTAAGGCAGTAGTGTGGTTGAATAAGTAAGAGAAAAAAAGAACAAAGAMGTATCATAGCAATAAATGACGAAAAAAGGAAAATATTACTTTTACTATTCAAAAATACTGAGTCATTTTTTCCTACCACAGTTCAATTAAGAAAATTGTAGCTTTTTCGCTTCACAACCTTAGCTTCCGCGGGACGCCATGTTGTCTCTTCAATTTTGTTTGCGCATGAGAACGCTTTAAAGCCCGCTTAAATTTTGAGGCACGCGTACCATAAAAATGTGTTGACACGACAGGAATTAGGAGTGCCGTGCCTAAGATAAACGGGCCGCGTACCTAAATGTATAAGGAGTTTCGTACCCAAAATGAATGTCGAGTAAGTATATGGGCCTATAATTGCCAAACTTTGCTAAAGTGGAAGTAATACATTTTTTTTAAATCCTTAATTCAAATCTATACTGATTATACTGAATCAATTATTCTCCTCAGACGAAGTGAATGATCGTTAAATATACAGGTGCTTTTATGTTCGTTTAATCGTGCGAAAGGACACCTAAACCTTCTATAATCATCTCGTAAGCCATAAGATAAAAAATACTTAAAACCACACTCTTCACTATTTGCTATATATTTCTTAACGAACTACTGCTATACTTCGTTATTTCATGATTTTTCGCGAATAYTTTGACCAGTGTCATGAAAACTGAGCATAAAATTCATGTTTCATARCAGTCGACAGTTGTGTGAAGTCAACGCCAGCTATTTTCTTCTACGAGCAACGTTTACGAGTCTAGATTTTAAAAGCGTTAGATTCGTTTAGTTCTATTCTTCTCAAATCGCAAGTTGATTCGAATTGAAATTCTAGCAAGAACCAATGAAAAATTGAAATACTACATCAGTGGAGAGAAAGGTAAGTGAAAAAAACTAGCTTGTTTCTGAAATTTATACCTCATAAGATATTGACCGAGTTTTTTGCACTGCGTTATGGCTCAATCGCGTACCGCACGAACCAAGATTATAAAAGAGTTGGAAAAACGAGATTCTGTAACATATACGGTATAGTCCGAAATTAATAAGATAGTCATTATGATGGCAAGGCATTAAGAGAAAAAAGAGGCGGGGTAATTTAGAAAAGAATTATTCTTATGCTCTCAGGAATATTGGAATATGAAATAACCAAGTGTCATAAAGTAAATATACATCTTAGATAATATAAAATATTTATGATAAAGATGCTTTATGCTCACAYGAACAATAGAAATATGAAAGTAACAGCGTCATAAAATATTTCAAACAAATAAACCAGCTTTTTCCGAGCTCCGCTTACTAATAAAGCACGCAGGAAGTGGCGTAAGCACGAAAGAAGTGTAATGAGGAGAACGAGCCGTAGGCGAGTGCTGACGGCACTTCCTGCGTGCTTTATTACAGAACGGAGCACAAAAAAAGCTGTTTTATTCGTTTTATAGTTACATAGTTATTAATTTTATTTCGATATTAAAATTTATTTAAGCAAAAAGAAAGAAGCCAGTTGCGGGATCTAGCAGAAACCTCGCGCGTGCAAATGACGTCAGCACTGTGCTTCGTTCACTAATAAAGCACAGTTTTCGATCAATCAGCGCGTACTATCCTAACTATATAATAAACATATATAGATGAATATGACTATCCATCCATCCATCCATCGTATCAATCCATATATATTGCAATATGCATAAACTTTGACCCTTTTTATATAACTAGAGAATCTTCGTTTTAATCTAATCAATATATAAATACGAGGGAATGATTTCTAGTCTGAGGTAACGCCATATATGTTTTCTAAACAGGAAGATATAAGCACGTGACCATGTGGTATTTATGGTTCTTTGTTCTGGAAGCAGTTGCCATAGTAACAGGAAATGTTACTGTCTTGGTTGTATTCACTCGTACACCTTCACTGCGCAAGCGCAAACACTTCCTACTGGTGAGTCTAGCGGTGGCTGATCTCCTCGTGGGAGTCATCTCAGTACCAATGTATGTAACAACATTCTACGTAGGCAACATAATAATATACCAAATATACCAAATCCAGGATATTCTATTTGCTACAGCCTCCATGTTTGGTTTGACGGCCGTGGCCATTGAACGAGCGTATGCCGTATATTTCCCATTCAAACACCGTACACTTTGGAAAGGTGTGTGCATGATCGGTATAGCAGCGATATGGATGATGGCGGCATTCATTGCAATTTCGTCGAAGATTTATTTTGACGGAATAATTATTGATATTTTTATACTGACTGCACCAATTATCTTCTCTCTTCTTGGTATCATTATTTCATATTGCCTTATATGGATTAAAGTTAATTGCATGACAAATGCACAAGGTCGCGCAATCCAAAGACGAGACAACAAGCTCAYTGTCACACTTTTGATCGTCATTGTCATCAGCTTGATCGCTTGGATTCCATTTCAAGTTATTATGGTATATTGGAAGATCTGTATAAACTGTTCTCTCACTGGCAGTGTTGTTTACACGTCTAAATTCCTACATTATGGCAACTCCCTCGTCAATCCTATTATCTACGCACTGCGCATGCCTCAGTTCAGAACTCCGCTTCTTTACCGTTTACGGAGTYGTGCTCCATGTAACAATAGTTATGAGCAAAACCATGACCACAGGCCAAATACCAACAGAAATAACCATGACAACGATGCTGCCAACCAACTGAACGCTGGTAATCATGACAACGGCCTTGGTATCCTTGGAAACAATGGTAATGAGTTAGAGCTCGATACCTTAGATAATCACGACGGGGACGTAAACCATCCAAGCTATTGCAGGGAGAGGGGGAAAATATCTGCTGAACTTGTGCATGAATCTACAGTATAAAAGTCTTGAAAGTATAAAATTTAACATCGACGTCATCTATATAGTAGAATCTCTGATCATTTTTATGCTCATTAGCAATGAAACATCAAGCTACAGAAGACAAGCGTGAGGTTTCCCCGGCACACAGCAATACGTCCTCGGTGGATTTTACTACAGTATATTCAAAATCAGATAAGACTTGAAATATTTAACCCATCACACCCAAACTTTAAGAAGGTTAAGAATTATGACATTTTCTTCTGATTCGCAAGGTTTTTTTGGTTGAAGTTCAATTAATACTAGACGCTAGCCGACAGAGATGTTCTTGTTGTTGGGTTGTTGAAGAGACTCGCAAACACCTCAGAAAACAATCTATGGACTCAACCATCTGAGTTGAAGACACTTATATGTAAGCAGACAATTCCATAGTACCGTAAGTTCCAACTCGTTTAAGGGTCTTGATGAACATTTGCCTGATCTTGTCGTCCGCCCTACACTTCTAATCGATGGCAAACCCAAGTTATCTTGCTTTTAGATCTGGTCAAGTTAGGTCAATTTAGAATAAAGATTAACTCTTTGTCAATTGTTATGAAATCACGTGATATATTTAGATTTCTAATCTGTATTTAACGCGAAATTAACAGCAGACCATAGGAAGCATTAGCGAAGAAGGCGCTGAGTATTTCGGAACGGTATCAAAAACTAAAGGTTTCGAAAGTTAGAACTGGACGGCTGTCGGATTTACCTTGCTTGAATGTGATTGTCTACTGAATGGATAAGCATTTACATCTAAAACTAATCTTCACAAATTTTGCTGTAAACGTTTAGCAGATAGTTTTTTTAGTCAGTGAACGGCAAAGAACGCATTCAAGGAGTTTCAAAACTAGACAAGCCCTGAACAAGCTAAAATTCAACAGACATTTTCTATTTTATAAATAGTTCACCTTCGGTTTAAGTATGTGGACCGCTTGGGTATTTTTGCTTGAAGCAGTTGTCATAGTAATTGGAAATACTGTCGTTTTGTTGATATTCATTGGTACATTTTCACTGCGCAAGCGTGACCATTTTCTTATTGTTAATCTTGCATCCGCTGACCTCCTCGTGGGACTAGTATCTGTGTCCCTGTACGTCGCGTTGAATTTTCAATATCTACAGAAGTTGGTCATTGTATTTGCTGTACAAGACATCTTGTTTGGTACAGCATCGGTGTTTGGTTTAGCTGTGCTGGCCTTTGAACGAGCGTATGCCGTATATTTCCCATTCAAATACCGTACACTTTGGAAAGGTGTGTATATGATCGGTGTAGCAGTGATATGGGTGATGTCAGTACTCGGAGCATTTTCTCAGATCTTCGACAAATCCTCCTCACTGAAGTAGCTTTGATCCTCACATTTCTCATTACTATCGTCATGTCGTATACCCTTATATGGATAAAGATGAATTGCGTGACTCAAGAAATGGATAACGCAATACGTCGACATGACAAACAATTAACTGTCACGCTTTTAATCGTTACGATTGTCAGTCTTGTGGCTTGGATCCCTTTTCAAGTTGTCAATATCTATGGAACAGTATGTAAAGACTGGCGTCTCTTTGACCAACATGTTCTGGTGGGAACAACAAAATTCCTTCAGTACGGCAACTTGCTTGCCAATCCTGTCATCTACGTACTACGCATGCCTCAGTTTAAGAGAGCTCTCGTTAGATTTAATAGGCGTTGCAAAGTGTGCCAAAGATGTGAAGGAACTCCAATTGAAGCATCCAGACCAAGGAAAACAAGCCAAAATACTAAGACATTGTATGTAGACACTCAAAATCTTGAAAACTATGAACTTCTTGTAGAGAATAAAAACAACAGAAAAGTTGCCGACGAAGACAGAGAGACTGCAGTTTAACGGAGGAGTGGTTTCCTGTAAATAAATATAGGATTCGGAGGGCATTTTGAACTATTTGATTTGAACCATTGGGTCTTGGATCAAAGAAGACATTCGCATAAAAGAACAAATTGCTATTGCCAATTAATCAATATTTAATATATATAATTGCCACTCAATACACAGGCCCATAGCTAAGATTTTTGTTGGGGGGGTGCTAATTTACAAAAAGTGGACCAACCATATACTTTATTTTTTTAAAGTCCCATAGGACGAATAGGTATAGATAAATTATATACTGAACAAACAATAGTTTAAATCGTGCAAATCTCCCTTTGTCATTATGGCTCTAATCAGAAACTCATAAGTGATTAAAACGGGTGGCAAAAGTGTATTTATTAAATCAACTGATTGTTTGATTAGCAACCGTATTTGGAGCAATAAAAATAATTCTGACCAATAACAGCCTTTTACCACAGGAAGTCCAATATTAGAAAGCTTCATCCAATATGGTATGGAAATTGCTCTAATTGAAGCAAAGAACCATGCTATGAGTTTATGCTCTAATCTTTAAGAAGTGTTAGCTCGAGTTTGCGGGGATGCTTGTTTGCGGGGATGCTTTCTAGCAAACAAATCAACAACATCGTTTAATACGATGGGCACATCGTAATGGATGTGCATCAGTGCCAGGGACGACAATCTCTCTTGCCCCATGCAGGCTCTCTGATATGTATGGAGTCGTCGCAAGGCACTGGCACTTCGCTCACATTCGCAACTTGTGGCTGGAATTATGCAGCAACAGATCGTGAGCAATTTGTGGATATTAGGGAACATCTCCTTATCCACATTCTTGATGGCAGAGGCTGGAGTGCTAGGCCTATCTTGTGCCGGTTTATCGTATCTATCATTACCTATAATTAGTTGACAGACATTTGCTAATGAGTTTAATAGTCAGTGAAACTTTGAAGTCTGACTTTGCCGAGAAAACATGTTCTTGTCTAGACAGTGGACGCTTAGACGGTAAAATTGGGAGCGAACAAAAATTAAGGAAATATACGCTTATAGTGGTTCTCGCTGCGGGTTTTATTTCAGTTGCATACGTACTTTTCTAATAATCAACCAGAATCTGTATAGAGAAGCGTTGTTGTATCATCAGATGAAAAAGTAAAAT